TTCAAGAAGAAAAATATCAGGGAGTACTGAAAAAGAACAATTATATAAAGAAAGAGAAATTAATCTAAATAGCAACCGAAAACCCTATAAGAATGTATCAGCAGTCCATCAAAAAACAAGTAGCTACAAGCTTGACACTAATTCAAAGTCAGTATTTTCTTCTGACTGACAGACTCAGGGAAAGACAAGCCAAAAATGAAAGTTACTTTATCCACCACATAGGAAAAGAAATTTGTCATCCATAACATAAATTGCTAAAACCTAACAGCATTTATTTTTAGATAAAAAGAGTATTAAGGAGAGCTGGTAAAAACAATTCATTACAAAGTAAGTTTTGTGTGTGTATGTATGTTTAAGTCTGGCATTCATTTTCAAAAACTGACTTGCTCTTTTTCCAGGCAAAAATATGTACTTTTGGAACAAGTAAAAAATTATAATAACATGAAAAAACAATATTTATGAAGAAGTGTAAGCTTAAACATAGTTCTAGCCATAAAAAGTCTGACCCTATTGCAAAACATCAAACTTGGAAATTTGCCAATATTATAGGAAACACTTTACAAATGAGTGTGTTCCCTAATCCTGCAATTCTAATTTAGGAATTTATTGTGAGGAAATCACGATGGATACACGCAAAGGCTTTACTATGTATAATAGTAAAAACAGAACATAATCCAAAAGGCCAACACTAGGGAAATGGTTACATAACTTATGGTTTATCTTTATTATGGAATATATGCACCATTTATTTTAGAAAAACAAACAAAAAAATCAAATTACATGGGGAAAAGCTTGGACTACTGAAGAGTAAACAATGTTACAGAATTTGTAGTAATGTGTGATTTCAACTTTTTGTGTTGTTGAACTATCCGTACTTTCTAAAATGAGCACTACAAAAGGCATTTATAGCTTTTGTTATTTAAAGTTACTTCAAAAAAATCTTGCCACTTCTTCCTCAAAGCACTTAGCAAATGAAATACAAAAACACTGGAAAACTAGTTTTTCACATTATTTTGTAAACATATTTTACTAATAATTTTAATGCTATTTTATTACCTAGCAAGTATTTGTAATTTACAAAAAAAAAATTGATTTAAGAAAAGTATTTAGAAGCTCGTGTTATCATATTGAGAGCAATGACTAAGCCCGTCTTTTCAGTCTCAACAACTCATCTAATTCATCAGGAGCTCTTATTACATTCAGTTTCATCCTGTCTGTTTCCCTCTGTAGAGAATTGGCGCACGCACTGGCCGGGTGCGGTGGTGGCTCATGCCTGTAATCCCAGCACTTTGGGAGGCGGAGGAGGGCAGATCATGAGCTCAGGGGATGGAGGCCATCCTGGCTACATGGTGAAACCCCATCTCTACCAAAAATACAAACAAATAAACCAGGCATGGTGCCACACGCCTGTAGTCCCAGCTACTTGGGAGGATGAAGCCAGAGAATCACTTAAACCCGGGAGGCAGAGGCTGCAATGAGCCGACATCGAGTCACTGCACTCCAGCCTGGGCGACAGAGCGAGACTCATCTCAAAACAACAACAAAAAAATCACATTAAGGTAACAATTAAGTGATGTGAAATAGTCAGCAGCATGGGATCTTTCCTAATTATGGCTGGAACAGTTGCAATTCCTTTTCTATTGAAAAGAGTCATTAGGAAAATAAAATGAATTAGCACGGACAAGGCACTTATTATAATAAACATAAAATGTTGGTTACATAAGTAAATGAATTAATAAACATGGAAAACCACATAATGCACATACATTCAATACCTACTTTCGAAGGTGGTCATGTTCTTTCAAAAATAGCTCAGTTCTTCTGTTGTTTACTCCAGACCCACTTTTATATGATCTGGAACAAAAGAGAAAATTTAAAAACATTTTTGGCAGAGAATACAAAATCAGATTAAGTGACTGACCCTAGTGATCTTGAAAGTAGAAAAATTGAGCCTCTCCACAGTTTTGAATGAACAATGAAAGTGCATAATCCTTTGCATTTCCCTCTGAAAAATGTTATTATAAGTAGATAAATATTAATGCCTCTGCCTCTCTAATTTAGGCCTCACAGTTTACAATATTTTTCACCAAAATAACTCAACATTCTGAAACAACCCACCAAAAAAAATCTTACTTTTCCTTTACCTCCTATCTCTGATATCTTCATATTTCTCCAAGTGGAAGTAAAACTTAGGACTGATTTAGTACATAGCACACAGGGTGGGAAAGCTGTTGAAATGAAATGTTTTCTTTCACAATAATACATGTAGTCCACCATCTGAAGCCTAAGGAACACTGAAATCAAGCTAAAGATTTGCTCATCTTGGCACACTTAAGGATAACCGTTTTGGTCTTCAGTGCATTGAAGCTGACAAAAAAATTACTCTTGGGCCGGGCGCGGTGGCTCACACCTGTAATCCCAGCACTTTGGGAGGCCAAGGCGGGTGGATCACGAGGTCAGGAGATCGAGACCATCCTGGCTAACA